GACGGGGCGGACAAAATCCCCCATAGGGGAGCTTGGGGGAGGGAGGGGCACCTTGGAGAGCACAATGTCCCCCCTCGAGTTATAGCTGTATATAGATTTATAATAATAGTCTTTCTGGGTTGGCTCCGTGCTGTCCGTATTACAACCGCAGCTGCGCGGCGCTGGACCCTTCGGCTGCGCCTCGGAGCGCCGTGTCCCGTCGGCTCCCTCGCCAGCTTTGGCTGGGCCCTGTCCTGAGCCGGCTTGGTGGCGCCCTGTCCCTTCCGACCCGGCCAGCGGCGCCGCTTGGGCTGCTGCGAGCAGGTGGGGAAAGCTCCGGGAGCGGAGCCTGTCCCGGGAATGCTGTCCTTGGCGGGAACTCCCCGCAGCRGAGGGAGGCGCTGCCCTGCGGGGACCTGCTTCCCTCAGCAGGAGCCCCGCGCCACGAGCACCGCGCACTGGGCAAGACCAACAGACCCCCCAAGTGCCCCCAGCTGCGTCTCATGACCGCGCATGGACAGGCCTCGCTCCGCAAGGACGTCCGCCACGCCACCTCCGGAGCCCTCCACTGCCTCGTCCCGCCTGAAGACACAGTGAAATCCRGCCCGAACCCTCCTCCCAGAGGCCCCGTTTCTCCAGTCCTCTCCTGCGCCCCTGCTCCTTGGGCAGAAATAACGTGTCCGTCTCCGACGCGCACCCTTTCCCTGGGAAAGCACTTGTGCTGTTGGCTGCGGCCCTGCACGAACGGGCTGCTCCGCGGGGCCCTGCCTCGAGCAGGATGGACAAGGAGCAGCACTGGTGCGTCAAGCCCCAGCCACGTGTGCTCGCTTGGGAGAGGAGCGGGAAGAAAAGCCGAGAAAAAGCMGCCGGGGTTTCCTGAGGGGAGCAGGGCAGGGCCAGGGAGCGGGAAGAGGCCGGGGCAGCGCAGTTTGGCTGGGCTGGTTGCAGGGAAAGCCGCAGCGCTGCTGTCTTCGAGGCTGCGTCTCGTGGTTGCATAAGGCTTCCCTCCGAGCCCCAGCCCCCTCGCTCTCCCAGAACAGCCTGATCCATGTCAGAAACTGCAGCTTTCACAGATGAGAGCCCAAGGATGAAGCCTGGTGTTTTTTTTCCCAGAGTGTCTCCTCCTTCCAGGTGGGAGCCTGTCCGCCCACTGACTGAAGTCTCAGGTTTCCTTCTTAGTGGCAGTCCTCCATGAGGAACATCTCAGCAAGCCCCCCGGCCCCTGCTCTGGGGATCATCCAGTGGCTCCAGGAGACAAGTCCCGCCTTGTTCCCGAGCCTCAGCAATGGGCCGCATTTGGGGACCGGCTCGGCCGCTTGACCAGACCTGGTGTCAGGCGCACAGTGACTGTGGACAGGGCCATCCCGGYCGGGCGAGCGCAGAGCTCCGGCCCCTTCCTGCGTGTTCTTGGTGGCCACGGCCCCTGAAGGAGGGCAGAGCCGTCGCCCTCTCCGCACGGCTCCCTGCCCTCCTGCCCGCACCGAAGGGCTGCTGCCAGGCRGACAAGGGCACTTTGCCTCCCTGCTCTCATGGAGACACCCCATGATGGTGTCTGCCTGGAATTACGGCTTTGCTGAGGCTTTTCCTTAATCTTTGACCGGGCCRTGCAGCTCTCAGCTGTAAGTAAGGCCACTTGGGTACCTGTGCTGCAGAAGGGAAAGGCTCCGCACAGCCTCAACTCGCCCTTTCCAGAGACGCATCCAAGGGCAAGGGTCTGCACATGCTCCAGATAAACGATGACAAGGGGTTCAGGACACCAAGGGCACCGAACAGCTCCAGTACTCTGTGGATTGTGGCAGCAACGTGCAGCCCGCCCTGCAAAGCCAGGTGCAGCAGCACGAGACCTTCCAGGAAGACATCCAGGTGCAAGGGGCTGCGGGAAGGACGCAGGAGGCAGCTCCACATTTGGGTTCCTCTACTGCATCCCGACAAGCTACTCGGACCGCTTTGAGGAGGCGGTGGAGATCCGCGCGCCGGCGCTGAGCACAAGCAGCCTCCGCCTGCGGGAAGCTGCTCCCTTGGCAAGCGCAGGGAAACGACGTTGTTTCCTGGGCTAAGATGCCTGTAAGCACCGTCCTCGGCCTGGAAGGAAGGCACTCACCCCTCTTCCCTAGAGGGAAGCAGCATGGCCTAGAGAAATTCTTACTGCATGTGAGCACTGGGGACCAGAAGCAGAGTGAGGCACCAGGGCACCATCCCCTTCCCTCGAGCCAGGCTCAAGGCCACCCTGCTACGAGAACCCCCCAGAAGGACAAAGCGGGAAGAGGGGACAGGCCCGCGGCGCTCCAGGGCTTCCTTTGCACGGCAGGAACCGAGAACAGCCCAGGGCTCAACAAGCCCCTGGAGGGGAGCGGGCTCAAAGAGCAGGTGGGTCCCAGCCCACGCTGCCTGTGCGGGCTCTGCCTGGCCCCACAGCTCCGTGCAACGGGAAGGGGGTCTCCAAGCRCTGGCAGCCCTGTCCCGTACTGGGAGAGGCAGCCCCCACGGCGCTTCTCTCCCTGCGGAGCACAGAGCACACGGCAACCGCTTATTATATCATGCTTTTAATACAAACTTAAAAAAATCTGGAACAATAGAAACTGTACAGATTTGATCAACCTTTTTTGTTTTTTTTTTTTTGTTTTTTAACTAAATCTCTAGACACACCAATGTCCCGTTCCAAAATATTGCACAACATTCTGAATACAAAACTCTGATTGTATTCCTCCTTCGCTAACGAAAAAAAACAGAAATAAAAAAGAAAAAAAAAAGAAAAAAGGAAAAAAGACGGCACCCCCTGCTCCCCGTCGCAGCGGCTCCCTCCTTGGAAARGCAGCCAAGCGGAGCGTGTCCGGGGACGCTCCGCTCKGAGCCGCCGTCCCCCCGCGCGCTCCCTCCGCCGGGCGGCCCTCGACTCGCTCCCCGAGAGGGCCGGGACGGGAGGGAGGGAGGCCGAGTGGGGAGAAAGGAATCTTCACTTGCGTCTCTTTTTTTTTTAAAGTTTTTTTCCTGAAAAAATATTTTTCTCTCCTCTTTTTAAGAAAAAATCTTGAAAAGAAAAAATTACATTTTTTTTTACGTTAGAAATATACATATATTATATATACCTCTTACATTTTACAAATGTAGCAAATTATTCAATACAAACGGACATCAACGGAAAAAAAAAGGAACACAAACCCATAAAAAATAAAAGTTAAAAAAAAAAAAAAAAGAATTCTCTCTTCTCTTCCTAAGAAACCAGGTAAATTAGTGCAGGTTTTAAAAAATAAAACTGAAGCTGAACGCCTACATCCAAGCCTGGGAAAGGGCCGCTGGCTCCCGCCCGGCGCTGGAGCAGCGCTCCTGAAGCACACACGCTCTTTTCCCTTGGGGGGACGGGGAGAATGGTCCCTGCGCTCCGGCGATGCCGGCGCCCAAGCGTCACGCGCGGAGACTGTTCCGAATGCTTCCCAGCCAGGATGGCAGCCCCTCGGCAGTGCGGATGGGAAGGATGGGGCGGCAGTGGRAACACGGCGGGCAGGGGCCTTCACCAGAGCGGGGTGAAGGGCTCCGGTGCTCGCGGGCACCTCTGCGCTGCGTCCCGTTTTCCCTGCAAAGGCTCATTGGCAGCACAAGCAACAGGGCCGGAGCGCCTCCGACTCGGCTCCGGGGAGCCGGGAAGGGCGAGGAGCTCGGGCCCTTCTGCCCCGGGACGGGGGTGCCTGGAAGAGCTCGCGGGCTCTCAACAGGCGCTGCTGGGCCGGCTTTCAGAGGGGCTCCAGAGACGCGCTCCACAAAAACCAGACCCCGGCACTCGAGAGGCAGCAGAGAGACTTTCCAAAAGTCACATCCTGGAACCTGACCTGTCTCACTCCTCTGTGCAAGCACACGGTGACCGCGCGGGTCCCTGCCCTGCAGCGCTCACGCGGGAGCTCACGGCCAYCACAGCGACGCGTCGTGCCGGTACCAACGGAACTGACACAAGGCGCTTCCCGCGTCCGCTGCCACAAACGCACGGGACGGGGCTCAGCCCCGCCGGGAAGCACGAACCCTTCGCTACCATTCACGAGAGCAGCTTCAGCAACGTAGCCCTTGCTCCTGCCCACACGCAGGGCTGCCTCTCTAACTGAAAGGAAAGGAATCCCCTCTCAAGGGCTGCAGAGAGGATTTCACAGCAGGGAAGGAGCTGAACCGAGGAGACTGCCCCAAACAAGACAACCGACCACTGGCCGATACTGCCCTTGCTGGTAGGGAGGGAGTACAAAGTGGGGCAGGACCCCGGCGCAGCCGCCGGGCTCAGCACGGCCCCCCACGCACATAGTGTTTTACCCCACGGGGCTCTCGTCTGGGCCAGCCAACGGCTCAGAGAGGCCACAGAAAGGCCCCCTTGGCTCGTGGCACAAGGGGGCTGTGACCAGTCACTTAGCTCAAAGCGCCGCGTCCCCGCAGCCCCACTCCATAGCGGTGGGAGCAGGAAGGAGCCGTCTCGATGCCAGTTCACAGCCACGCTCCAGGCCGCCCGGCCCGTGCCGCGAGGGCTCAGCCAGAACCAGCACCTCTCACCACCACGACAGCCGGCCCGGCCAGCGGCACCCGCACAGAGCCGCATCGGAGCGGCAGCCCACGCGCCGGCTCCGCTGCTCGCCCGCTCCCTGGCCCCCAGCAGGGTGGCAGTGCCCGACACGCGGCGCCTCTCAGCCCGCCCGCAGCGAGGCACAGAGCGGCCAGCGGCGGGCAGGGCGCGGGGAGAGGGAGGGCAGCCGCATCATGACCTGCGGTGGCACCGTTCCTGGGCCGGCGCAGCGCAAAGGTGAACGCAAACCAAAAAAAGCCCTCGACTCATTAAAGGAGTAAAAAAGTGAGTAGGAAAAAAGCACAGGGACTGAGTTAAAAAACAGGTCAGTGCTTCAGGAGCGTTGCCAGCACAGCGCAGTAACACTGGGCTCTCTCTTTTTCCAAGAAGCTATATTTATAAGATTTGAATATTTTCTGTATATTTCTATTTTTCTTTTTTCTCTCCCTCTTTTTTTTTCCTCCTCGTTTTTGTTCTTGTTCCCCCCTCCCTCCCCACCCCAAGTACTCTCCTTCCTTCCTCRCGTTCAGTTGGCCAGGACCACAGGCTGGAACGACTGGCTGGGGTACTGCATGGTGTTCAGGTTGTAGCTGAGTCCTTCCACAAAGGGCGACTTCTCCAGGAAGAGGCTGTTGGTGCTGCCGCCGAAGACCTGAGCCACGTCGAAGGCGCCGCCGGCGCCGAACTGTGACGCCGGGGGGACGCCGCCGGCCTGGCTCTCGCCGGCGCCGCCGTCGAAGAAGAGGCTGCCGGAGCCCGGCGAGGCGCCGCTGTAAACGAACTCCTTGGCGTTGGGCGAGAGCTGCGACTGCGGCGCCTGGCTCCCCGCGCCGCCGAGGAAGTTCAGAGAGTGCATGGACAGCGAGAGGCCCTTGTGCTTCAGCAGGTTGTTAGTGGGAGACCTGAGCATCCTGGGCTGCTGCGCGGCGCCCGCTCCGCCGCCGCCTCCGCCACCCCCGCCGCCCTTCTTCATCTTGGTGGAGCCGAACTTGGTGGCAGCAAACGTGGCAGTGGTGAAGGTGATGGGCTGGGCAGAGCGAGGGATGAAGGTGGGGCTGGGCGACTGGCCGAAGGACGGCGAYGGCGAGTTGGACAGCGAGTTGTCCTGGCTGCCGATGGGGACGAACACCTGCGCGTCGGGGTTGAAGCTGCTCTTGATTTCTTTGTCCAGCTCCATGGCGCTACAGCCCTCGCTGTCGTCCAGGTACAGGACCTTAACAGAGCCCTTCTCGCCAATCTGGTAGGAAACCTCAAAGGGATCGATCCAGACGCTCAGCTCCTCAGGCACGTTGGCGCGCACATCCTCCACGGCCAGCCCGCTTCGCTTGGCCGCCAGCTCCACCACCGGATCCACCGTCTCCCCGATGTGGACGCAGCGATAGCCCGATCCCTTCAGAGGCTTCTCCGGGTACCAGTGACCCTCATACTTCTTCTTCAGCAGGCGCTCGAGCTCCTCGCCAAACAGGTCTGCCCGCCTCCGAGGAAGCTTGTTGTACAGGTATGAGATGATGAAGTTAAGAGCAACTTTGATCTCCAGATGCATACTCCCTTCGCAGCAAGCAAGTCAGGGCAGCGTATTAAAAGGGACAGAGTGACAAACACATAGACAAGATGCAGCTCCAAGCAGACCTAGGGAAAAGATAGGAAAAAAAAAATGGATAAAGACAAGAAATTGCCACATTTTTCACCTGTTGAAGTCAACARCTACACCTTTTCTTCGGCAAAAGCAGAGGAAACCTTTGTACAAACACTACCGAGTACTCRCTCTGACTCGGAGGGTTACCCCAGATGCGCTGGCCCCCAAAACACGGGGTGCTGGTGGGGGAAGAGCCTCCCTTGTGCCACACAGAAGCGCAGGGGGGCAGCCAGCACCCGCACCGTGCCGGCCTCGCTGCTCAAGCAGGGCTGTTTGGGCAGCTCCGACGGCGCCTCGCTGCGCTCCTCCTCGCCTGCCCCAGCCTCTCYGGGACAGAAAGGTGCCGCCCGGAAAGCCCCTGGAACCGCTCGGGAGCCTGCACAGAGGCCGCCTGGGGCAGCGGGGTGACCCCCAGCAAAGAGGCCAGGCGCTCCCGCCGGCCACTGCGTCCTGCTGGCGCAGACGAGACGGGAACAACGGCAGGAGCTGCGGCACCAGCTGCTGCCCTTGTCTCCTGTCCTCTGCCTGACAGGGCCCGGCACCCGCTCTGCCTTCTGTAAGCCTAAAAAAATCCCGTTTAAGCGGTGCTCACTGGGAGGGAGCAGACAGGTGCACAGGGCCACAAAGCACACACGTACCAGCAGCCCACCCAGCACCGCTCGTACGACCTACCCCCGAGCACAGGGAAGCTTTGCCAGGATCAGGTACCTGCTAAATAGGAACTTAAGCTGCTTGCCAAAAACTGAAGTAATCCTCTCTCCCTGCCGAGGAAGTCTCTGAAATGGAGAGAAGCCACAGAAGCACAACGCAAAACCACAACACTCAGCTCTGCCATTACAGGGAGATTTTGAAACAATACTTGCCTGAGTACACCCTCTCCCAGGTAAGTCAGCACTGTGCAYCCGTCACCCATCCAGAGAAAATGAATCCCACAGATATTTTAAGAGGAAACACTTCCATTAGCCTACGCACCTCTCCGAGGGGAAGCAGACTATCCAGTTTTTAATTGGCAGCTTAGTCAGAGGCTGCTCACTCTTCAATTGCCCTCATCTTGCTCAAGCAAACACAGCGTTCAATTGTCTTCCTAAAATGGGCTTCGGGGATGCTCTCCTGGAGCGGCCAGGCCCGCGCTTCTATCGCGTGCCAATTATTTGGGGGCGGGGACAGAGCACGGGCACAAGGTGTCAGCTCTCCCTGGAAAAAAACAGGGATCTCGGCCGCACCACCGAGTACCCAAGTCAGGAGCAGGAACGAAAGCTAACCAGGCTTGTTTGCTTAACCTAGTTTAGTGGATAAAAAGAGTAAACAGATTAAAACATTTCCCCTGCTTTCCCCCCCAAAAAGCACCTATCCTCAAGTATTTCAAGGTTTCACTACCAAAAAAAAAAAAAAAAAAAAGCCAGGAGGGAATCCTGTACTTTGTATTTTATGTTCTAGTCAGCATTCAAGAGGGCTTATTTTTAGGAGTACAGTAACCCAAAGCAGATCCCACATCTCAAGTCAGCTGACAAAGGTCAGCTCTGGAAGGAATCTCCTTCAGGTTTAACTTGGCAACAGGAAAAACATACGATTAAGAGGACAGAAGAGAAGAAGGGAAGTCCTGYCATGTAAAACCCGGTTTAAGGAATCACTGAACCATGACAAGTTTTGCCAGGTGACCGAGACCTGACAAAGTTCAAACAAGAAGAGATTAGCCTCAAAGAAGAACGAACAAGCAGAGTTTTGCAGAAAGCAAGGAGAGCCATTTCCAGGCAGCAGTAGTCTCGATCCCGGGACAAAGCCTTTCCCCCAGGAAACAGCACCAGGCAAACCCCTGAAACAGCACATACAAATATTAACAAGAGCTTAAACAGCCCTTACGATCTCRAGCAGGGATTACATGAAACTCTGTTGCTCCTTTGACTTTGAGACCCCTGACAAAGAGGGCAGCTTGAGATCTCAGCAAACTCAAGCAGAAAAAGAATAATTTTTGTTGCATCTTTTATTCTAAAGTGATAAATTCTAACCCAGAATCAAAATATTGAAAAAAAAAATCAGAAGTTATAGCCTGGAAATAGAGAAAAAGATGAAAATCTGTTACCATCCTACACGCAACACAGATGCCTCAGTACCCCTTGACAATCTCACATCCTAATCAACAGCATCTTCCACCCAAACCAGCACAGAGAAGGTACAGAAATACATACTCCCCGCCACCACTTTTTTTCCCTCCCTCTTTCAATTAAGAAGGATGTTCTTCCGTTCTAAAAGCAGAATACTCCATCTTCACTGTCAAAAACAGGATTATTTAATCAGATTTGTAACACCAGTAGCTGCCAGGATAACCACGTACACACAGCTGATCCTCGCAGAAGTCCGAGACACGGTAAGATGGGCTCCAGTAGCACTGCCAAATTCCTTTCTACTGCCCCCAAATAGGAATTAAGGAATATCTGGAGGAACACAGCTTCCAAGACAAGAGGAACTAAGTATTAACTCTAAAMGGTATGCCGGCGAGCCTGCCAGAGAGCGAGCCTTGCCCACGCTGCCTTCATTTCCAAAGTAAAGGCTTACCCTGGTGGGCAGAGCACAGGAGCACCGGTGTCGATGAGAGCAACAGCCCGCCACCGCCACGCTCTATCAGAGGCATTAGAAACCCCCCCGACTCCCCTCTCTCACCGCAGTGTCTTACAGGAGACGGGCCGAACACCGATTTACCTCAGGCAGGCGCGAGCGGCAGCAGAACGCCCTGCTCGCCTCACTCTGCCAGCAGCTGCGAGCTCGTGAGTAAGGCTGCAAACTCCGGGGAGGAAATTCTCCCCTCTGAGCACCGCCTGTTGTGTCAGGCGGTTAATGGCGCACGGGACACGCCAAGTGACTCCAGAAGCACCCCGATGATCTCCGTGCCCTACGTAAGGGAACCGCAGCCGCTTCCCCACTCATCCCGGGGGCACCCAAGGCGCTAATGGTGCCTTATTAGCCTCACTAGGGCTCCCCGCTCCCCGGGCGGACCGCGGTTGAGCGAGGGCACCCCCCGACGCCGTGCTGGGGGCCGGGTGGGGAAGGAGGAAGGTGCCGCCATCACCACGGAGGGGGCTGTGCCCCCCCCCCCTCCGCCCCGCGGAGAGCGGCCATTTCTGGTGACCCAGCCAGAGCCGCTCCCGCCCCTCCCTCCCGCCGCGCGGCACCCTGGGAGCCGTAGTCCGCGCCGCGCCGCCCGCGCCGCGCCGAGCCCCGTGACCTAGTTCGCCGCCGGACTACGCGTCCCGGCGTGCCCCGYGCCCGCCCGCCCCGCCGCCGCCTCGCCGGGGACGGGCACAAAATTTTCCAGCGCACATGCGCAGTGGCGGC